TACTGGGGATATGGAGAGATGGCTGAGATCGTATATACGCAAGCAACACGTGATACACGCACGCTGCGCATGAAACGACACGACACGCGAACGCGTCGCGATCACTTACAAAAAATGACGATCACACGCACTCTTGCACTCTTCCTCGCGAGAAAGAAAAAAAGGGACCAATTTGTTCGCCGTCAATTTATGTATGTACAGTCCTTGGTTATTAATTATTGCTATGGTACATTTATACAGTCTAGATACGCGTACATATAATAGGCCGTACCGAATGAAAAGTGAAGCGTTCGCGACGTTTTTCTTTTTTTTTTTTTTTTTTTTTGGTTTCTTTTTGACGTGCTTTTTTCGTCTTTTTCTTTTCTTCCTTTTCTCTTTGTTCTAGAAAAAAAAAAAGGAACACTCGACTCGCTACGAGTTCGCGGGAGAAAATGGCGTTGGGGGAGGGGGATGCTGCTGATAGATCGTCTTTAATGAGATTCGACTGCCCTCCGCTCTGACCGCCGATCTTTCGTTTTTCGCGAGATCGATATCGAGATATGGAGATCTTCTAGTGCATTCTCTTCGAGTCTCGAAGGAGTGTGGCGAAGACTACAAAATCTGACAATCTGATTGTCTCGAAAGAAACAAATTTTGCAATCGTTGGAATAATTAACAAACGCAGTGGATTCGTGGATTTCACGAAGATATCAATATCCGGTGTCGACGAATTCTGTGTCTGCGCAATTTGTTGTTGTATATAATAACTGACTGAAAGCTGTTTGCTTCAGAGTCGGAGGACGAACGATCTTTCTCCTGTTTTTTTTTTCTTTATTATTATTATTACTATTATTATTTATTTTATTTTTATTATTATTAAACGCAGCTCAATGCTCTTTCATCGCAAAACAATCTGTTTTTCTTTTTTCCTTTTTTTAACAAGTATTGCGTTACAGGTAATACAGCGTTTTGTTTTCCTCTAATTACACCTATGCAGCACTGCTTTTTTAACCTACGTTTACTTTTGAAAACATATTTACAAATTCAACGCGTTTCCGAGCATCTTGCGAGCTCGTTCGTAGCCAGTCATTTGCTCAGCCAACACACACGCACACGCACACGCACACACGCGTGTACATACACGCAGAGAGAATGATTTTTTTTTTTTTTTTAAGTTATTCGATCGACGAAATTGTTTCTGACCTGATATTTTTTACTCGTGAAAGTTGCCACGTAATTTCAAGTTCAAATCGCAAACGAAAATAATTGTTTCTCTGCTTTGTCGACATCTGGAAATACGACGAGGTGTTACAAATTCGAAACCAATTACCTCGCATTCGTAGCAACGCGAATAGGAACCCCGATTTTCTTTATTTTCGTCCCGTTTTGAAATCATCGACGACAATTCTCGCGGAATGTTTTCGAATCTCTCGTCGCGAGAGTTAATGGATCGTCGAACGAAAGTCTGCAGTCGAAACGACGTGACGCGTTCAGCTTTGATTTCGAAATCAGGACGATCTACGGGCTACGGATCGCGTTTAAAAATAATGCAAAAGTTGTCGTGAAACCAGCGGCGGCACGAAGGCATAAACAAACCTCACGAAGCACGGGTTGGCGCGCAGGATACCGGTCTCCGACTGCAAAGCCCATCTGTAAAGTTTCAACGTTTCACGACCAATGCGTTTCCGGCGAAATTTGCAATTTCGTTGCGTGCCGAGAGAGAAAAAGAGAGGCGAAAGACCGTAGAAGAATACTTGTCATTCCGTCCCCTCGCCCGTTTCCGGTTCCGCTGTGCGCTTCAGTCTCTCTCTCTCTCTTTCGTGCAATTGTCCATCCAATTCGTTCGCGAGCTTCCGGTTGTCCCGGCGAATCCTTCGAGTCGCCTTTCGTACGTGAGCGTTCAACCCAACGGAATCCGGTTTTACAAAGCCGAGAAATTCGTATATTTCGAGAAAAATCTTACGATAGACTCGATCGGTTTTTGACCAAAATCAAGCAAGTTTTCGAAAAAGGAACAAACAACTTTTAGACAGAAGGCGGCTCCAGATTTCCGCTGCCGGTTAATTAATAAATCGGTGATAAATCGTTCGAGCGTGATCGATTTTAATCACGTGAAGGCGAGAGCTTGAGCTCGGTGTCGATCAGCTCGTCTTCGTTATCTGTTACTGATGCTTGAAGATAACAGCAGATAACAATTCCAAAGCCGAAGTCGACAGATTTCTTCGGACGATCTATTTGAAATCGCAGGTGAGGAAGAAAATTGTTAACTGGAGGAGGGATTTCTAAACTTTTTAGAACAACGATGAAAAGTGTCAAATCCTCGAGACCACGACGCAACGAATTTTCATTAGAATCTTATATTTTTATATCATTGTTATATTATTGTTATACCATTATGACAATAGTTGCTGAATCTCAGTCGACAACTGTGGTAGAAGGTGTCTTCGTCGTTGTTTCGATGCTTGAAAATAATAGCAATAACAGTGAAAATTGATCGATCTGTTTGGACGATTTTTCTAAAGTCAGACAAACAGAGGTGAGAAAGGAAACTTTTGACTGGCGAATTTTTAAACTCTTTGGAACGAAGATGAAAACTGTCAAATCCTCGAGACCACGACGCAACGAATTTTCATTAGAATCTTATATTTTTATATCATTGTTATATTATTGTTATACCATTATGACAATAGTTGCTGAATCTCAGTCGACAACTGTGGTAGAAGGTGTCTTCGTCGTTGTTTCGATGCTTGAAAATAATAGCAATAACAGTGAAAATTGATCGATCTGTTTGGACGATTTTTCTAAAGTCAGACAAACAGAGGTGAGAAAGGAAACTTTTGACTGGCGAATGAAAAGTGTCAAATTCTCGAAACGGTGATTACAACGTTATGATTGATACAATTTTGATTAGAATCTTGTATTTCTGTTATATCGTTGACAATAATTGCTGAATCTCAGTCGACAACTATAGAAGAAGGTGGCCTATGAAATGGAAAGGGCAGAGATTCGTAAGATCGTTAATTTAACTAATTGTCAGCAAAATACCCTGACCTGTGCAACGTCGTGGAACAAAAGATGTTAATACATTCGTTTCTCTCCTGTCGTTCTTGCTTAATTAATTTAAAAAAAAGAAAAAAAAAACGCGCGGCAAGATATAATTGCCTGGATCGAGTATAAATGAGGCAGTGCACGACCTTGATTTTGGATTATGCCACGATTTTGAATGATCGAAACAATGTCTACTGCGGTTGGGATAAATCGTTTCAAGCATTTCAAGATGGAGCTTGCTCCTGTGAGCCCGTGATTGCTCAAGGATAATATAAAAATAATATAAAAATAATAATTAATATAGAAGTTGGTTGATGTACTTCGATTTACGTCCTGTTGTTCCAAAGATTAAACGGCCAAACTAAAACGATAAATCCTGCCGACGGGAAAGGAACGGGAAAGAGACAGGGACTTGTCCAATGCAATGAAAACCGGGGACAAATGCTGCAACTTCGAAATTTATTTGTCAACTTCTCCGAAGCAACAAACATTCATCCACCTGTCCGAAGTAACTGAAACTTTCGTGCTTCGCTCGTTTGTTTGCCTTGAAACGCGTTTCCTAACAGAAACTTGGTGGGGGAGGATAAACATACAAGGGGGGACAGACGTAGGTGTATTTGTTTTTTCAGGTAATTGATGAAAAATAAAACGCGCAGTCGAACGACGGAAATTTATATCTCGCCAGAGCTTGCCAGCGACAAATCAAACGGAACAGACGGAAAAAGGAGAGTTTTCGAAGATCGAAGCTTCCATTTCCGCAGGCGATTTCTTAATTAAACCGGGGGGGGGG